GAGATGGAGCCTATGAAGATAAAAATGATTTATATACGTAAAAAACAGTACATAGAAATTGACACTACATGTGCATGTAACTAAGCCGGGAAACAAATTATCTGGATATATAGTAATTCATAGTTTGAATTGGTATATAAATATAATTATATAAATATAATTATTAGAATTTCTATTTCCTTGTGCCCTTGTCCGTCGGGAATGTGCCAAATATCTGTTTAGAAGGGGTAAACGGAAAACTGTGGAATCATAAATAATAATAAAATATATTATACAGTTAATTAGAGTTATATATATAATAGAAAGAATAAAATAATTGTGGGAACTATAATAAGGAGGACGTCAACGTACGCGGTCGTTTTGAGTTTGACCTTCTGACAGGTACGAGCTTGTCCTGCGTTCGAAATTTCAACACGACTATTCAACTTTGGCATTCTGGGATTTTTATTATTATTAAGGGTTGATTACTTGGTCAACAGGGAAATAGACGCACAAAATCTGGAAAAATAATAATAATCAGCAAACCCTTTCTCTGTTATTTTCAATTGTTTGGGACTTGGAATGTATTTGAAAAAATGTCAGATACTAATAGCTAAATAGTATTTTTTTTTTATTGGTGTAATTTTTACTAAACTGTTAATTAAACATTATGGGTTTAATACTATATTAATAAGAAATTTTATATAATGAATTATATTATAACATAATTTGATAATAGTTATATTAATAATATCATTTTTATTAAGCAGATGTTATACTAAAAAGCAAAAACACAACATTTATTTATGCTAATATATGATTTATTTATTTATTTTGGATTGTACATCAAATTTTATCGATTTTCAACTATTTCCTTTAATTTTATTTTTTTGGTTCCGCCACTGGTTCCAAAATATCGTCCAGGTTCAATTTATAAAACTGCAATTTCAGTTGCTATTGTGGAAATTAAGTTGGCATGGATATTGCATGCAAATGCATCACGCAAAATCATGTTAATTACGTACATTGATGAAGGGTAGCTTTCGAACTATAGTCAGGTGATTTTGGTACTACAAACAAGGAGGAAATTGAAGGGTTTGCTAAACTTATAAAGTGAACTGTCAAATTAGCATTCATTTTTTTGAAGTTATATAAGTATAATCAATTTTGATAGAATTCTAAGTTAATTATGCAACAAAGGCAAGGATTTCGGAAGCGAAGACATATTAAATGAAAAAGTTTTATATATATATACACACTAACATTTTATGATTAAGTTTACTGATATTTTATAAAAAAAATTATTTATTATGTTTTAGAGATATAAAAAAATTATAAAGATTTTGAAATTGTACGGTAAACAAACCATACAATGTCCTAACATTTATGCATTGATACTGTGTATTGTCGTTTCATACTAATAACTTCATTTATTACTCTTTAATATATACAATTCAAACATTTCATCATTAAATTCATTACTAATTTAAAAAACAAACTTACTGTTCGCACGCATCTTCCAACAAATATCAACTATTTAGTTATTTGGTTCTAGAATCATATCTTGCCGGTATCTGTGTGTGTTCCACGGTATTTGAGTTTCATCATACAAGGACCAGTAGATTTGACAGAAACCAGCTAGAATTTACCAACATTTAATTAAGGATAGTTTTGAAAATAAGTCAAAGGGGCTATCTAAAGTAAAATAGTTTTTACAAATATCTAGGTATTTAAGGATAGTTGTGACAAATATCTGGGTATGGAAGTCATCGACAAATGGCTATGGATTCAAGAATATGGACTCCAAACTCTTGATGAATGCTCCAATTTGCTAGCCAATCCCAGAAAGCTGTGATTGAACTGGATTTTCTAGTTGCCATACTAATTCCATATTTTCAGGATTCTTCTCATCATCACTCCACAATAGTCTCCTTACTATAAGGGAAAGTCGGTGTTTTAAAGATAGCCTCAGAATCTATATATGTTGGTTTGTGGGGAGCACATTCGTAGTGTTTTGGCCTCTTGGGTGCATCATAATTCATGAAAGAATGTTAGTAACACAACTATTTTAAACTCATTTTTTTACTATTGTTGATCTACTTTAAAAAAAATAAAAAGTGATTAATTTATATAAGATGAATGCTTTAACATTTTTAAATATAGATTAATCATAAAAAATATATTTAAAATAATGAGTTGTTACTAATTATTTGATTAACGGTAGGGAGAGAATATAAAATTTCACCTACTCTTAAAATTCTTAAACTAAAATGAAAATATAAAATGGAAGGGCCAGTTCCCACCATTTCACCTACTTACTACTTGGCATGGCCGGCGAGTCAAAAGCTACCATACCTACTTTCCTCTTTAAGCTATTGCTATAATAAAACTCCTATTTTTTTCCCTCAACTTTGACTTAGAATTAGAACCACGATCTCGTTTCCATTTTTATTCCCGTGCCAAATTCCAACTGAAACGTTATTTTTTATGCAAAAAGAAAATTATAGAAGTCGGACAACAATCCCTTACTAACCATATTCTTTCTCCACGTCGAAAACCAAGAAAGAGGTTGGTGACACAGAAAATCTATGCTGTTTTGTTGTACTTCAAATTTTAAAAATGTGAAACCCCTTTTCTCCATTCTTTTCCACACACATATGAAAAACCAAGAAATGGACTCGGAAGTCTTTGTTATTTAGTTGTACTTCAAAGTTCATGACTCATTCTGCCCCACATTAAACAATGACCTCCGTTTAATGTTATTCCTATTTGTTTTCTTATGCCTTTGGAGGGTATAGCACTGTATATATGAAGTATTGAGACACAGTACTTTTGCCATTTTAAAACTAAGACGTAAATTTTATATTCATATATGACGCTGTATGATATCATATGTATGTGCCCAAGAACTGCTATTATCCCTCCTCTTGCCATTTGTTAATGACACGTTGGTACTTTATATATATAGTCTTGAGGTCGGTAACAACACACTAAAACATAATATAATGGATCAATATTCATTATATTATGACATGTTGCTTGCATATCCATTTGCAGATACATAATAGGATCAAATTTTAAATATAATATTATGTTGATTAATTTGACCTTGATTTGCATGTTTTTTAAAATAATTATAATTTTGAATAACAATTATAAAAATTTAATAAATATAATTATAAAAATAATATAAAATGATTCAACCGTTATATTAATTAATATTATATTTTATAAAAAATTATTAAATAATATAAATGTTAAATTTTTTACAATTAGATTCATGTACACGCACAAGGGCAGAGGAAGAGAGTAGACAGTGACTTTTTAGATTAAGGAGACAGTAGCCACCACTGAGACATGTATATTGTAGAAGACATTGGCAGTGTGTTGACATCATTTTTTGTCTCTTCGATTTTTTTGTTTCGTGCGTAGAACTTGTTTTAATTTTTTAACTTTTAAGTGGAAACTTTTATAATACATCGATTCGTTTGATTGAGATGGGTCTAAAATACAAATTATATACAAATTTAGGGTGTGTGTATATATATATATATTCTTAGTGAAGTTGAAATGTCACTTTCTACACCAAACGCGTGTAATTTTAGAAAAATTTGTAATCCTTTGTTTCTTTAATGCAAGACTTTAAAAAAAAAGTGTAGCAGTCATGGATAAATAATAAAAAATTAACAGGGGAATCATTCAGATCACGGATAAAAGAAAGAGAAGGGTTTGTTAAGATTATATATATTTTTAATGGCATGTATTAGTATTAATTAATCATGGTCTCTGTATTCGTTAAGAGTCCAATCCACTGCATGATATGATGTGACATTTGGTCTCCTTTGAATGATAATATATTCATTTGGAAATTAATTAGTGCAAGTTGGGATAATAAACAGTTTTTTACAATTCAAGTTTATGTTTTCCTCGTTATAGTGACAGCCACCAGTTGCAATTGGGAGAGTAAGTTGCAAAATGAGATTCTTAGGTGATTCTACTCATGAAAACGAGAAATTATAATTTTCATATTCTCAACTCACGTTTTGAACTAGTATTTTTTGTCATGTTTTTATTTTGAAAAATTGTTTAATGTTTTTAAAAACTAAATTCTAAAATTTATTTATAAATAAATTGTTTTGAAAATTAAATATTAAAAATAAATATGTACCTTTGAAAATTAAAGTTCAAAAGTGAAATGTAAATCACTTTCAAAAATAAAATTCTAAAGTCGTTGATAAATTACTTTCGAAAATCAGCTTTTGAAAAATATTGAATTCTGAAATTTGCAACGAAAAGATGGTGCCCCTAAACTCAATTCATTTTTAAAACAGAAGCCCAATTCATTTTGGAAGTTAAAATTAGGCCCAATCAGAGGTGTTTAGCAATCGACAAAAACTAATTAAGTAGGTACTGTAGCCCATTTCTATACGGGCTCTGTTCTGGTTGTGTCAGCATGCTATTGTCAAAACAAGGCCTAATCACACAAATTGTAATTAGATTTCGACTCTGTTGTTCGACAAGGAAAAAGAAGTTTAAGAGTTTGTGGAGATAGTGGGGGTAACGTTGCTTTTATCAATTAGCAATGAATTAAGGAGCTTTTGCTTTTCTCGACCTTTTCGATATTCCTTGGTTCTCTATAATTGAATTCTACTTTAAGATTTGTTTAGCGGGTGTTTTCTTTTTAGTTTACACCCTTTAATTTTAGGTTACTATATTGTCGTCAGTGTTCCATCCTAATTTAGGCACGATTATGATTTGTTTACTCTTCTCAGCAGGTATAATAATGAATCAGGGTTTGAATAAAAACATTGTAGGATCAGGCGCAAGATAGCCCCAACAAAAATAATAATAATAGAATTTTGGTGTGAAAAGAAATGATGAGGAACACAGATGCAGCAGTAGCAGGGCTGTAAAGGAAGAATAGATGAGGAAAAAGCAAAATGGAAAAAGGAAAAAGCAAACGACGTCGTTATGATTCCCGGAACCATGTCCACGGTAAATCAGACACGCTATCATCGCTGCTTTTTCTCTCTTCGCTAATTCTCATTCCTTTCAACTTCACTCGTTCACTCTCCGATGCCCTCAGCATTCACTTCACAGCTCTCCATGCCGGAAATCCCCGTCGATTTCCGTGCTCCGCCGCCCTCTCCGGTGGCCTCCGGCAGAAGATCCTCCGTCACCAACGACGAAGTTTTGACAGAATTCCTAGAAGCCTCGCTCCGCGTCCCCGATCTTGTCTTGCCGGACAAAATCTTCCCCAAACAGAAGCTTCTCGAAACACCTCCTAAGGTCGATTTCGTGTCATTGTGCTTCCACCGCGACGACGCTCTCCGCGACATCGTTTCCGATTCCTTGACCACGCTCGGATGCTTCCAGTTGCTCAACCACGGCATTCCTCTACAACTCATGGCCTCCGTTGCTGACGCCGCCGCAGGCATCTTTCAAATTCCGCCGGACAAACGATCGCCGGCTACAAGATCGCCGGAGAAGCCCTGGGGATTCGAGGAGTATCATGCAGGGGAGGAAGAAGAAGTGGGAAGTGGATTGAATGAAGAATTCGTGTGGTGCAATGATAATGAGTTGAAGTTGAAAATGGAGGGAATTTGGCCAATTGGATATCCAAATTTCAGGTGACACTCATATATCTAATAACATAATATTAAGACGATAAGATTAGTTAAAATTTATTAAAAATTACGTCAATTTTATTTTTTAATTTAATAATTTTTACTGATACTTGTATAATTATTATTAATAAATTTGAGCTTGATAATAAAAAATGTGTTATTAATACTTAATTTTAGTATATATATAGATAATTGTGAATTAAATTAAGTAATTAATTTGATCTTGTATATATTGACACAAATCACATTCTAAATTGTATACTACTTGTTGAACTTGCAGCAAGAAGATGGAAATGGTGATGTCCCGCATAGAGATGGTAGCTATGAAAATTTTGGGAGGGATTTTGAAGGACGATCCTATAGAATTGGAGGGTGATGTTGCTGACATGGGTGATCACATTCATGGGCATGAACTTGGGACGCTTTGTTGTGTTTCCAAGCATTGTAGAGATAATGCGAATGATCGATGGGCTAACTCGTTGAAATATGACGTGATTAGAATGCTGATTAGGGGAATCGATTACTCTCATTCGTTGTGCTTACATGTTTGTAATGGGTCTTCGGAGTTTCACGTTTACTCCAAGAAAAGTTGGCTCTCATTCTGTCCCGAAGAAGGTGCCCTTATAATCACCGTTGGAGATCAAACTCAGGTTAATTTACACTTTTGCCTCTCTCTCTCTCTCTCTCTCTCTCTCTCTTCTTTACCCTATAGAATTCGTAATAATTACGAAGTTTTTATTATCTATTTACGAATAATAAAATATGAACTAGTAACGTTTTGCATAGTTAGATCTCAGGTTGATACTTGATTGTTGCTACTAATTTAAAGCAATCCACTTTTGTAATAACATACTGAGGCAAGGATGTTTTAACTGTGTAGTGGGCAGGTCGGGAAATCTATGGCAAAATTGTGAAAATATACACCATTTCTTCCTTTATAATGTGTCGTTTATGAAGGAGAGGAAATGAATGCTTGTTCGATAGAACCCTTGACACGAGCAGGAACAGCCTTAGGACTTTCCTATTAACAACAACATTAAATTAAACCATAACATGTTTACAATAGCACCGATGCGGCTGGAAACAACATGCACCATACTTCCTTTTGCCTATGCCAATTGAATAACAGCTAGTTAAGGAGAATAGGAGGTCCAAGGATTGTTATAGCTGTCTGTTTTTCTCTTTTGGGCTCAGGCCCTACTTTGAACCCAAAAGACAAAAAGCATTCTCTCCCTTTTTGACGATCATTTTTTGACAATCAAGAACGAAAAACAAAAATAGAAGAACGAATCCAAAAAAGAAAGAAAGTAATGACAAAAAAAAAACACAGAAAAAGCACAAAGCAACAAAATAGAGAACAAAAGCGCCAAACTAACTTTTTGAGCCCAAACAAAACGGATGTCAAGACCGGAAAAAAACCTCGTTACATCAGGGGTGCATGTTTGGTTTTGATTTTTCATGAGTGAAACTGTGAGAAGTAACACTAATCTATCTCAATTAACGAGATTGATTTTGCTTGGCTACAGATATTGAGTGGTGGACACTACAAGCATGTGATTGGAAGGCCAATCTTTAAAGGAGAAAAAGAAGAGAGCATTTCAATGGCTTTCCTCTATTCTACTAAAAAAACAAAGAACAAATATCAAACCAATAGGGGAAGATCTATTTCACTTGGCCAGCAAGCCATCTTGGCTATAATTCTTACCCTTGTGTACCATGTCATGATTTATGTCTACAAAAAATTTTGACGTTGCCAAAAACTTATGAACTTAATTAATGAAACGCAAAATGCACATCCATACCTTGAGACCACAAACACTTGTAAACTTGCCACTCATGGGTCCACAACTACATCCTTTATTACTTGTTCACAAACATGGGATACTTGTACACTTTCACCATGCTTGCCCCTTTCTGAGTGTTGATTGCTGTTGCTCTAGTTTTACAAATCGAGGTTATTGTAACCATTTTCACGGAACTTATAGAATTTTGCTTTAATTACCATTTCATTTGGATTTGGGTCAATTTAATTTTGCTTCGACTTAATTAGAAGGAATGAGGTTCTTGCTTTTGGCATGGGTTTAGGTCATGTTAGTTTTCTTGTGAGAATTCTTAACAGTTTTATGGAAACTATTTATTTGTGACATTGGGCTTCTATACACAGATTTTATTGGATTTTGTCGGTCAATGCAGATTATTATTATTTTTTAATTATGCTTTTGTTTCTAGTTAGATCTAACTTTTGGGGTTAATGGGAGAACAAAATTAATTCTCTAATATTGGGTTTCTTTGATAGTTTGAACTCATCGGTTAGTACTATGCAAGACATATAGTGCAAAACATTATTGAAATCCCATTAAATTCGTCACCAACATGGAAATGCCTAATCTACTTTGCTATAGTGCGTGCTACATAAATTTGCCATATTAGTACTTAAATTCGGTCATGCCAATTAGCATTGTTTATCAAATTAAATCTGTTAAGTTTTCCAACCAAAACTAAACAAGCAAGTTGAAAATGGCCCTTTGCAGCAGCATATATAGTATTATTAATTGGATAATGCAGCAAATAACAGCAGCCGTATAAAGGAAGAAAAACTAGACCTTTTTTTTTTAAAGAAAAAGATTTTTCTTGCTTCAACAAACTTCAAAATAGCTAAATGACATACGAAACACAGTTGCTAACTCAAACGAGTACGAAACACAGCATCTACTTGTATGCTTTTGTAGCTCGGATATTACAAGAATTTGCACGCTGATTGTAGTCAAACCGTTGCATAAGGCATAAATGACATTCTAAGCAAGCAAAAACATTAAAAGAACAGTATACATAGAAGAAGTATAATATTAAGCATATAATTACATAAGTATCCCTTCTGCAACTGGGTCAACGGCGACTCCATAACATAATTTAATTTCCCAAATGAAATTCACTAGTAGAAATAATAAAAATACGGTTGAACCTACCACTCGATGACATAATGATTTTCATTAGTACATAAAATTGCATTTAGCTTGTTTTTGTTTCTTGTTAGAAAGTTATTGCAAGCATTTTGGGAGAGAAAATTTGTTTGCGTTGAGTCGAACTTCAACTAAACTCTGTTTTAATGGAAAACTAAACACACTTGATTCAAGCGAGATGCATGGTAGTATAGTAAAAGTTAAATCGAGTGCAGATGTTAAACAAACGGGGCTTTTGTTCTCCTTTTTTTTTTCATAAACTCGCCAAAAATATTTGTAAACTCAGGTTTTCTATGATTTTAAAATTTCTAAGCAATCAAACTCTCGAATGCAAGGTTGGTAAACGATTATAATAGAAGGACATTGCTTCGCAAACGGCGATGCTTAACAAAGTAAACACAAAGGCCATTAATAAACAAATTTAGCGGCAATAAAAACAAAAAATACAGAGTAGAGAAAATCACCATGTTAATTTATCATAAGGCGCATTGAAATTAAAAATTTCCTTTAGTTTCTGTAAGCAAGTAAATATCACCATTTTCTTAAATCCTAGATATAAATCTTGAAAATCCCAATTCCTCTTGCAAGCCTTGTGAAATGCTCTAAAACAAACACATGGTTACAGGAACCAAACTACAATCACATTTATTTTGAGGGGATAAATCCAATATTAGGTATTATGAGAAAATAACCAGATCAAAACATAGAAACTCTTGAGGGTAAAGAATTATATAACTCCACCACAATATACCAAATTGTAAAATGTGGTCACATGAAGAACAAGGTACAACAACTTGTATAAAGTAATCGATTCTAGTAAACTTGGATTCACTAAGCTCAGTAGAATCAAGATGGTGGAGTTCACACCTCAGTTGGAGAAACAGCTCAGTCAAAATTAAGTTGGCACTTGGTAGAAGCTCTTGGTACACCAGATAAAAATTTGAGAATACGATACTTATGACTTAGATCCAACATCATATCTGCATAAACAATCATCGTCCTCAAAACACGTCCTCTGCGTAGAACATATGTAACAAATGCTAGTTCATCTGCAAATCCTTGGAATCCTTTAACTTGAACAAAGGTAAGGTGAGTTCCCACACAATTAGGACCACTAGTTGGCTGTGGCCAATTTCTTGAAAACAATGAATCCTGCCATAGGCGACACAGGTCACACCCACTCATAAGATGCAAGCGAAAAATACATATCATTCATATACAAGTCACAATTTAACATGAACCATAAGAACTAAACAAATGACAAATATCAAAATCTCAACCTTTACCTTCTCATTCTGAATTATAAGAACTTGAAGCATATGACACTTGTTAAGCAAATTCATCAAAAACCCCGAGTTGAAACACGGAAGAACAAGCTCTAAATGGAGTAAATAGCGAAAATCGGGCAAATCTAGATTAGGGCCACGAAGTAGCCACTGCATACACAATAACACACAACATTAGTACAAAAATAAGAACCATCACACATAAAACACAAAAACTTCACCTTCATTGTTGAATTACGCATCACCAAATACTTCAACCCAGAAAGAGCTTTAAGAAGCTTAAACAAAGGTTCAGCAGATTCATCCGTCACATAGACGTCAAGATACGCTTCCACCACATTGTCCAAATTCCCAATCGAACAAGGGAAGCTTCTCGTCCTTTGAACGATGCTGAGAAACTCAAGAGCCGGCGCGTGAAGTTCAAGGAAAATTTCAACGTTATTCTCAACCGCATATTTCAACCTCTTCAACGAACGAGGCACACAAATTTTTGTCAAGCATTGAGGAGCAAACGACAAATGCAGAGTCTCAAGAACAGGGCAACCAGAGAGCAAGGTGTCAATGCAATCCACTGAGTCAATGTCGAGTTGCAACGTCTTCAACGACGGTAACCGAATAACCGAATTAGGGTTTCGGTTCTGAAGGTGAATTCCACCGCACAAAGAGAGGGAAACAAGATTGGTGCATGTGAAGAGCGAAGGAGGAACAACGAAGCCATGTCCATCGGTGGAATAGAGAGTGAGGCAGAGGTCTTCAAGGTAGGGTCCAATGGCGGCGCGGACCCACGTGGCGACGGAGTGTGCATAGAAAGTGTCGTTTTGAGAGTGGCCACACGAGAGACGAAACTTCCGAATGCTGTGAGCCCTGCGGAGAGTGAAAACGGCATTGACAAAAACGGCAAAGCGTTTGAACAATTCAATGTGGTGATAGAAAATATGTGAATCATCGTATAAGTCTAAGACTTGAAGATGCTCCCAAAGGTGGCGCCACCTGCGAGACAACACGCTTGTTGTCACGCACGTTTTGGTTGGGAGAAATGATAGGATGTGGCAGAGCACAGAATCAGGTAAATTACTCAACCTATCACTCTCACTTTCTTCTGCGTTTTCTTCTGTTTTTTGTCGTTTGGAGCTTGATTCCGCCATTGTTGGCTCTGCATCCAACGACACCTTCTTCTTCCTTTCTTAAAACGTAGAAGTCACTACCATTATATAATGCAACGAATATTAGTATTAAATAATGATATTTCAAAGTTGAGTCATATAATGCTGTAAGTCAAATTTCACATTTACTTTTGCATTCATATACTTTTAATATATTTATTTAATGCTTGTAAAAAAAATGTATTTAATGAGTTTTAATTAATGTTTCATGCATTTAAATATTTGTTGTGGGAAACTGAAGTAATCAATATATATTTAAAATCCGATAGAGGATTACAGCTTACTAAAAATTTATAAACACTTAAAAGTTAAATTTTTAAATTATTGATAAAATAATAATACTGTGCTAATTATTTGATATTTTAAATTTTTATAAGAATTTATTATTTTTATTTTATTTCGTTAGATATACATTAATAAATTAATTTATTAAATAAGATACATTTTCTTTCTTATTTGGAATATTTATTAATAAAATACATACTATTTAAGAATAATTTTTTATAACGTTTGTTCAAAGATACATGATAATAAATTAATAAAATATATATTTTATTAAAATTTATAATAATTAATGCATTAAATTTATTGTTTATATATTCATATTGTACACTAAATAAATATTTTTCTTTTTAAATTAAGTTTCGTTTTAAGATATTAATATTTAAATGAAAAAAATAATTTTTAATTCTAAATGATGTCTTAATATTTAAATGAAACAATAAATTTTAATTCGAACTTTATCTTAAATTAATAATGAATAAAATGCTTCTTCAGTATTATACGAGTTAAATTTTTAACAAATAAAAATACAATTAATAAGAATATTCTAGTGACATTGTTTTAATAATTAAAATATTTATAATTTTCTTTATCTTTTGTGTGAAGAAAACTATTAAATGACAATCAATTTCAAAGGGAGGGGATAAATTCTAAAACTAAAAAAATTGTATAGAGTTATTGCTTAGCAATTGCATAGATGAACATTAAAGTGTATTAATTATATTTGGAATAAACTTAAAAGAGATTTAATAATAAAAGCATTAATTTCACTTTTTTTTTTTACTTTTTAGATTATATAATACTAGTATATTACTTCTGTAATTTTTCAAACATTTATGTTTGAAATAATAAAATCAAAATATATTTCAATGTATCTTTACATTTTCTTTTTCACTCTAGATATGAGTTGTTATAATATATATATATATATATATATATATATATATATATATAGGAAAATCATTTTCCCTTTCTATTATAAATACTACAATATTGTTACTTGTTAAAAAAAAGTAGTTACAAATTATGGAATCACACCTAAATTTGGTGCTCATATAAATTAAAATATTTTATTTGCATTAATTTTGAAGGTTAGTTTTAAGTAACTAAAAGAAAAAAATCATAAAGAAAAATTGCACATTGAAAATGTAAAATATAATAAACAAATTTTCTTGATTTTTTTTATTTCTAAATGCTTAATATCAATTTTGACTGATAAGTAAAATTTATTTATCTTTACCCATTTGATGCTTATTTGTTTGAGAATGCATACTGTACCATTGTCGTTTAATGATATTAATACAAATTTATGCATATACGAAGTAAAATCTACACAGCCAATCTTATTCTTCGTAAGTTTTGATTAATTTTGATAAAATTGATTAATGACAAATGGTTATCAGCGGTGCGTGCATGCATATTCAATTATTATTTTTATTAACTATGAATATTCAATAAAACAAGTAATGATGGAATATATATAAATTTTCCATGAATGTAGTAATTTTGTATAAATATACCATATTAAAATAAGTGCTGTATTATTACACACTACTTCATCATTACTTTAAAGGTAACTACTGTTTTAATATTAACATTCTCTTGCATTTTTTTTTTTCAAATTTAATTTCAATACTTTGAACTTTCCCAGGTATCAATTAATGATACTTGGAAACATTTCAAGCTTATATTTAAATAATATTATTAATGCGATAGTTTCAAAATTATATAATCTTAATTTTTGAATTATTTACTAGTTAATACTTCTCATATTTTTAATTATTTGCCAATCTGCACCTCTAATTTAAAACTATTAGTATTGAATGTTTTACGCAAATTAAAAATAAATAAATGTTCAAAGTGAATTTATAATAGTTTATGAAAATTCATAAAAATAGTTACAAGCAATATATAACACAGTACACACAACCACCCAAATATTATTAAATACTAAAAATTCAAAGTTGAGTAATACAATGCTATAGGTCAAATTTGACATTTAGTTTTGCATTCATAGACTTTTAATATGGTTATTAAATGCTTGTAAAAATATATATTTAATGAGTTTTTACCTAGTTTTATTCAATGTTTAATACATTTAAATATTTACTGTGGGAAACTATAGTAATTAATAGATATTTTGAATCCGCTAGTTGATTATCTTTACGGTTCATTAATAATTTATAAACTCTTAAAAATTAAATGTTAAATTTATGGATCCAGAAAAAATGATAGTATATTTATTTATAATTTTTCAATATATACTTAATGATATAAAATAAAAATTAAATTTTATTACTCTTAACCTTTAGGATTTATATATTATTTGATACCTTCTCGTTTTAATAAAATATTACTTTTATTAATTATTTAAATATAACCGTATAAGTTGAGAATTAATATTTTCTTAAATTTTTTGTATAATAATTTTATATTAAAATCATAAAATATCACATGACTTAATATATTAATAATATTAAGTATTATATTTTATATAAAAAATATTATTTATATTATATTATTATGTCATTAAACATACATAAAAAGATTGATTTGTTAAATAGAATAAATTTTCTTTTTTAGCGGTATTGATAGGTGAAACTACTTGCTATTGGGAAAAAAACATAGTAAACAATGTTTTAAAATTTTAAAGAAACAATATTTATTTTATTATCTGAAATGAATAATGGATAAAATTATTTTTGAATATTGTGTGAGTTAAATTTTTTAAAAATAAACATAACAGATGCAAATTTTAAAATATTAATAACATCAAATACTCAATTTTTATATATAAAAAATCATATTTAAGCACATACTAAAAGCAGATATAATTAATCTCAAGTATGTGGATTTTCATTTGAATTAAACTTAATTATAAGTAAATATTGTTTTAATATTAGCGTTTTCTTGCATTTGTTGTTATCAGTGTTTCGTCCCAACACTTTAAATTTTCCCGGCCATCAATTAATGATACTTCGAAACATTTAAAGCTTATATTTAAATAATATTTGTTACGGTAATATTTTCAAAATTTTATAATTTGATTTTTATGTTAACTATTTAACACTTCTCATATTTTTAATTATTTCCAATTTATATCTCTATTTTAAAATTATTATTATCATTATTAAATGTTTTATATAAATATAAAAATAGTTAATATTAAAAATGCGTTAAGAGAAGTTATAAGAAGTTTATGAAAATAGTTCACGATTTTTCATTTTTTTAAACTTATTTCAACAAATTTCTTTAGTAAACTCTGAACTCTTTATAAAGTAAAATTTTTATTAAATAACCACTCAATTAAATTATTATTCAAACACATACTTTAATATTTTTGTTATTCAAATTAATTACTTTCATCATAAATGTGTAAAACATTAAATTGTAGTTATTTTAAAATAGGTAAAATAATAATATTAATTAATCCCATTAAATAAACATGAATTTTTATTTACCTTTGTATAATTTAATTTTCACTTCTTTATTTCTTTTTATCTATCACTTTTAAGAAAAAAATGTTTTCATTTAAGCTTAATTGTTTTTTTTTTCCTTCATTCCTTAATTTACGTGTATTTTTTTAAATTTTAACTATTTGTATTTAAATTTCTTTGACTTTGTTTAAAAAATTGAAGTAAGAGTTTTGAGAAAATATTTGAGGAACAAGAGAGAAAAATAAAATAGAGCTAATAAAAAATTTTACTTTTAAAAAACCTAAAATATAATTTTATGAGTTTTGAAGTCTATAAAAACTTTTTAGCATATTTAAAAAATTTTAAATAAGAGTTACCATTAAGTAAACCTTATTATTTTATCTATTTTTTCCTTAAAATTAACTTTTAAATAAAAGTTTAGATTTTTAACTGTTCAAATTAAAATTCTCACCTGAAGACCTCATCTAATAACGAACCTTTATATATGAATTTCAAGTAATACTGGTTTAATAGAAATATTTTTCAAGATATTATTAAAAAATACATTTAATAATATTCTCAAATGAAAAAAATTATTTTTTTTATCATATTAAGCATATTTTTACATATTATATATTTAAATTTTTAATTCAATGGTAATTTGAATTATATATATAATTTTAT